AATAAAATACTGGTACCTAAAACGGGCACATAGTATATTTCACAGTAGGATATGATTCAATGTCATGTACATGTAATATGTGCAACTGTGCATCCAAGTTTTCATGGTTTTGTTTGTTTTTATTGTCTTATATTTCAATATACAGTCAGTTACCAGGTACATGATGTGACACCTGAATAGAATTATAAATAAAAATACTTACACATTGCAATGGGGATCGGTCGGGGACTACCACACCACTTCATGTATCTCTTGATCTCTATTTCAAAGACATCTTGAATGGAACAGTATACACTTATTAAATGACTACGAGGTAAACAGTCAAAATGTTGTTCCGAGGTAGTGGGGGAAGGAAACTGTTGCCCGAGGCCGCCGAGTAGTCATTGAATAAGTGTTTTATTACCTAACCTACTATATAATTAATTAAATTGGAATAAAAACACAGTGACACAAACAATCAATAAAAAAGTTTTCACAACTGTTTATTCACATACTTTTCTATTAATTAGCTGAATACATAATATAAAGATTAAATTAATATTTTTAATTTAAAGTAATACTTGATAAATTGATTGTTTGTGTGTTTTATTTAAATTTAATTAATTATAGAGCAGGTAAATAGTGATGTCGTGATCATCAAAACGCTTGAATATCACGATGACGCTTTAAACAGTCAACAGTTCTTTCTGTGGCCCGGTCAACAGTTCACTGTTTCATGATCACGCAAAAACATAAAGTAAACCATGAAACAGTTCAAAATGCCTAATTATAATTTATATAGTAGGTTAGTAATAATTGAAATTCTCTCGGCCTTCGCCCCATAACACTCTGATTTCCCATATTTTTCTTTGGCTTTAATACTCATGATGTCCAGATCAACCCTTTGGCCTTTCTTAAAGATTATCCCTACTTTGTTAACTGTTTTTCATCAAATTCTGAGTCTCTTGAGGTACAATTTTCCTGAACAAGATGTTTCAAAACAAGAAGAAAAAATGCAGATTTTATTGTCTGCCATCTTGTTTACATTTTTACACATTTTGTATTCTTCAATGCCGAAGAGCTCCAACAAGGGAAATAACTCGGACAGAGAAAAGGCACATTTAGACCAACTTTATAGTGTAATAAAATGTTTATTTTTCATTTACCCATAAATGTTTTAAATGATATTTGCAAAATAACATTTCTTAAATCTATATCTCCCTACTAGGATTTTCACATCACTTGTCAAAATCTTTAAATATTAAGTATAACAAGGGAGGTAACGAGGACTAATTTTTCACTTTTTTGGCATCAGAAAATTAGAAATTGTAAAAACTTTGTGACATATACTATTTTTTACATAGTTTTGATTGTCATGAAGCATATAAATAAATATGCATGTTAACAGCTTTGCCTAGTAATTTTTTTTTTAATATTATTGATAAATAGCAAATTCCACTATAATTTACACCTTCTAGCCCCGTTTCCATGGCAACCGGGTAAACTACCATGCTTTCTTTCATATAGTCAATCTTTTCATTCATTGAAGTTTCAGTAAGAAAAAAATTAGCTGAATCCAAGACATCGCGTGGCCACGTCATTTTGATTTTTATAGAGAATAGATATTAATAAGACTATCAAAAATATGCTATTCAAAGTTAAATTAATTCTGTATAATTAAAGGTACTTGGACACAGATTTGAAGTTAATTTTTTCTCTGTAATATTTCGACTTATATATTTTAATAGCTTATCTCACAAAAATAATTTAAAATCTTATGAAATTTAAAAGTTATTAAAATTTTAATTTTTTTTTGGCGGGTTTGATTGACACATCCTTGCACTTCACAAATTTTAATTTTACTCTTAATAATTAGGAAAAGTGGCAATCTTGTTGTGTATAAATGAAAAATATTAATAAATACTATAATCCAGAAAATTCAGAGTAGAAATGTTCAAAAGCAATACAAACACACAATATATTCTCAGTCCGTGCAGTTTTGGTGAGCAGACTTCAACAATTGAACGCACCCGGTGAATCGTAAACAGTCAATAATAACAGAGCTCTTGCCCTGTTTACAAAAACTGTGTACAAAACACGAGTGTGATCGGTTTGCACACAACACTAAGCTCGGAATGACGATACTTTGAAGGAGTTTTGCTTTCTTAACATTTCTACCTTGAATAAAATTATTTTTCTGGATTAAACTTTTTAATATTTCTCAATTTCACACAACGATACAATTACCAGCTTGTGCAAAGATTAAATTCATGAAGACTTCTGAAAGTGCAAGGATACCTCAATCAAACCCGCAAAAATTTTGAAGTTTTAATATCAATTCTCTATAAAAATCAAAATTTTAAATCGGGTCGTGGACATGACATATCTCCGATTTAGCTGAAATTCACACCATTTACTACAATTGGTATGTCTTTAATAAATATGATGTTAAAGTCTAACTTTTCATTTTGGTTGCCATGGTAACAGGGATGTTATATTTAGAACCCTCTGATTAAGCAAATTTTGCTCTGTTTTAAATTAAATTTGTGCACATTCAATTAATTAGTAAAAATTCACATGAAAATTATATTATGTTAGCTCATAGCTTAAATCTAAGAAATTAATTTCATTCAAAAGATATTTGAATGAAGATTAAGCGAATTTTCATTGCAGCATTAAGGCTGTTAGCATATTGGCAATTTAGTCATATGAAATTTTTCACCATTTTGACAACTGATAATTTGTAACCATGTATCATTAAATAAACTATATATTCTAAGTTTTTATGAGAATAAAAAAAATTAATGGGTAAATCAAAAACTTTCTAGAAATTATTGCATGAAAATTGGCAATTTGCCAAAATTGAGCATATTCAATGAAATTTTTCACCATTTTGACAACTGATATATTTGTAACCATGTATCATTAAATAAACTATATATTCTAAGGTTTTATGAGAATAAAAAAAATTAATGGATAAATCAAAAACTTTCTAGAAATTATTGCATAAAAATTGGCAATTTGCCAAAATTGACTTTTTTAGTCATATTCAATGAAATTTTTCACCGTTTTGACAACTGATATATTTGTAACCATGTATCATTAAATAAACTATATATTCTAAGGTTTTATGAGAATAAAAAAAATTAATGGGTAAATCAAAAACTTTCTAGAAATTATTGCATGAAAATTGGCAATTTGCCAAAATTGACTTTTTTAGTCATATTCAATGAAATTTTTCACCATTTTGACAACTGATATATTTGTAACCATGTATCATTAAATAAACTATATATTCTAAGGTTTTATGAGAATAAAAAAAATTAATGGGTAAATCAAAAACTTTCTAGAAATTATTACATGAAAATTGGCAATTTGCCAAAATTGACTTTTTTAGTCATATTCAATGAAATTTTTCACCATTTTGACAACTGATATATTTGTAACCATGTATCATTTAATAAACTATATATTCTAAGGTTTTGTGAGAATAAAAAAAATTAATGGGTAAATCAAAAACTTTCTAGAAATTATTGCATGAAAATTGGCAATTTGCCAAAATTGATTTTTTTACTCATATTCAATGAAATTGTTCACCATTTTGACAACCGATATATTTGTAACCATGTATCATTAAATAAACTTTATATTCTAATGTTTTGTGAGAATAAAAAAAAAAATTAATAAATTAATGGGTAAATGTACTGCTTTCTAGAAATTATTGCATGAAACCCCCCCCCCCCCATTAATCACAAATAACAGAGAAGATCATCTAAGAACATGTTTTACCAAACTGAACAAATTTTTATGTAGTATGAATATATGTCAAGTATTTAAATTTCTTTTCAATAATTAAATAGAACTTCTGAAATTAACTCAGTGACAGGTAAAATAAAATGTTGCCATGGAAACAAATCAGGCTTCTAGTTATTTTAATCTAAATATGAAATAAAACAAGTGAGTTTCCAAAAATTCTTACAAATCTTTTAATGGCCTGTAATTGTGTCCAATCCTTTTGATTTATTCACTAAAATATGTTCAAAACAATTGTTTTATGGTCAATTTTTTAAAATGTATAATTAAAGTAAAAAGGCAAACTCATATTTAATAAATGATATGAAAGTATTTTATGAAAATATGAAAGTAGGTCAGACAATATAATGTCAAAACAAGTTGGCAAGACCATCTTGATTATAATATTTGTTTGCCCTCTCCCAGCTCAAGGTAAAATTATTAAGTCGCCTCGTTAGGTAGGTTGTAAAATCTTTTTCCCAGAAAATTTCACAATATTTGTTGACGAGATAAGATGGATAAAAAAGAAAACCATCCTGTCTTGCAATGTAAAAAAAGTTTTGAATTTTAGTTAGTCTGTTGGGGGAAGGCAGCCAAATTTGTTTAAATGACCTTATATGCTAAATATTGTGGAATTAATTTTTATTATCACATTGCTTATCAGCATATTCAGATGATCAGTTACATGTATACTATGTTCTTTTAATGGGTATAAATATTTTTAACCATTTGACCTTGACCTTAGACATTGACCGACTTAAAAAAACTTTAACCTAAGAACCAGAACTTTTGAAGTTGGACTAGATTTTCATATTTCACAGGTGTTTTACTTGTGGCAAGACCTTTCTTGGGATACCTCGTGGGAGTCTTGACATAAGCTGCAATGTATGGGTGAATCAGTGTTTCACAATTAATCTTGTTCTCAGTTTTGTTAAAATGTATTCATATATATTCTAATCATCCATAACATACTGTGTGAAGCCTGCCAATATAAAACTCTAAATTTGTGAGCCCATGTGGGGGTATATAATAAATCAGTATACCACCTCTCCTGCAGAGAGGGTATATAAAAAGGGAAGAAACTGCTTCTTTGCATAAAACTGCTTTTCTAGAAAAAAATAAACAAGACATAAATTGGAATGTATGCTTCACTTAAACAGTGATATTTTTTGAAAATACAAGAAATCAATTTAAAATACACATATTCCCTAAGGAAAACAGATGCCCTGCTTAAAAAAAAATTTTTTTGCTAAAAATTGTTCCTTCATATTCTCTCATTTGATGTAAGCTTGGTTTCCTCGAATTCACATTTCTTTATGTCCTTTTGTGTAAGTTTGAAAAGTAGCTCAGCCTTGCAGTATTGATTTGCTGTGGATTTTAGTAATGATCATTAGAAAACCATCTCTATGTCCATCTTGCACCAGTGACAACTTTTACTGGATCATCTTTTCTTTCTGTTATTTTTCCTACTTTGTATTTTTCATGTAAAATTTACTTCCAGTCCACTGTATATTGTTTTTTTTCTTTTTTAGGGGGGGGGGTGTATGTCCTCTGCTCTGGTCATCTCTATCTGTTCACATGAAAATAAAAAATAACATTAATTTTTGGTCACTTTGGATAAAAATTCATTTAAAAATTGTTTCAAAAACTTAAAACTGGAATCTTAAAATTTTGCTATATATAAAAAATATACATTTTCAACCTATAAACATTATTATCTCCCTTTATGCATTGTTGTGGCAATCATGTCTTAAGCCACCATGAATCCATGCAACTTAATACACACTACATGTACCTGTGTGGTCTCCTTGCTAGAAGATCTGTAATCCTGAGAATCTTCATTAGGAAAATCTTGCAAGGGCTGCAATGATCAATTTAAAATTATTTTTTAATTTGAAAGTTTGGGTTAAAATCCTGAACATCATATATATATATATATTACATGTACCTAATATTTACATGTTATCCTGAAAATTTTCTGAATCAAGAGAATGATTGATAAAGGAGTGAATTTAATGTTGTCATCAAGCATTTTTTTTTTTTTCAATTTAAATACTTATAAAGCTTTTCTGCAGTTTGGACAAATTGCTAGAGATATAGAGACTAAGAGTAGAAATGAATTTGACAACAATTAATTTCTAAAGTGGAAAATAAAATGTATTTATATAATCATAAATTAATTGTAATAAAAACATACATGTTTTTTATGGATACTAACGTAATGTGGTATAATTTATTTTCTTCTTTAATGTGACTATTTTTAATTTGTACAATATGTCTTTGACATGTAAAGTACACAGCATCAGAATGATCTCATCTGTACAGATCAATATTGTCAAACTAAAACTATTCATATTTAAAATGTGTGCAAGATTGATATGCCTACAATATATAGCTGAAAAACAGTGATCAGTAAAATAAAATTATGAGACAGAAAGCTGCATCTTGGAAAGTACAAATGGAGTTGCCATATTCTAACACCCTTGGATATATTTCTTTTCCTACTTTACAATACATCACCTTGCAGAGCAAATAAATTCATTGTATCAAGGTCCCAAAAATGATTTCACAATAGTATGACAAAGTATATGTACTTAGATCTAGAACACTACTAGCATCTGTAAATGTGGATGTCTGCAAGTACTTTCATAATTTTACACTTACACTTTTTTAATCAATTCTTTAAAATATTCTACAGTCCTGATATTGCTTAAAATTTCAAAAAATCTAACACACTATTCAGTAAATTATCATTGTCAGAAGTCAAAGGTTTAATATTTCCGAGGTATGATTTCTACAAATTCTGTTTGTAAAAATAGATTGGACACAAGCATATTATAATTTGGAAAAATAAATTCATACAAACAATTTTCTTCAAATATGTACTGATTTTTATAGAAAATAAAATACCAGTACCCAAAACGGGCACATATATTGCACAGTAGTATTTGATTCAATGTCATATACATGTAATATGTGCAACTGCATGTGCATCCAAGTTTTCATGGTTTTGTTTGTTTTTATTGTCTTATATTTCATTATACAGTTAGTTACCTAATCCGAGATTCCTCTGACTCTAACCCCTGCTTTTATATTGTAACTTGTGCGCACAAGTCACAATATAAAAGCGGGGGTTAGAGTCAGAGGAATCTCGGATTATCAGTTACCATGGGGTGACTGGAAAAACCCGAAACCCCCCAATTTTTAGAGAATACCCATACAGGAGGGGTGAAACCCCAATAAAGTGGTGGAAACCCCATAAAATTAAACGTAATGGGGTACAATAAGGCCTAAGGTGGTGTTTAATTGAATGATATTGACATCCGTAAATTTTTATAGCCAATTTTACCTCAGAATCGACGGAAATTGGGCGCCATTACGAGTTTACCGTACACCACGCCCGATCTAAATTCGAAGCGAGCTGCTTGTCAATATAATTGTATAGATAATATTAAAATAATTCATAATAATTTCTACAATTATATTTGTTTTACAATGATAATAGTAAAATATTAATTATGTAATAAGTATTTAACAAAAAAATGTAAGGACGTTAGCCATTAAGAAAATATGAATTTGTGTATTGTGAATTTGTGTTACCAGCTCTAGCCACGTGGAGGCATCCTTTTTGTAGAGCCATAATTTAAAAAAAAAATTATTTTAGAGAAAATCTGAATTTAGAGATATAAAAATATCCAAAAGCCTCAAAGCTACATTATCAAAAAAAAAAGAAATAGTGAAGATAATTCATTACTTATTTGTTACAAAGAGAACAAAAAATAACTAAAAATCAAAATATGAAAATACTGAATTTAATTTTGAGATTTTAGACAAATTCTGAATGTAGGGATATAAAAATTTGAAATTCAAAGGTTCAAAGCAACAATAATAATTAAAAATAAAAGAATAATTACTTATAGGTTACAAAGAAAACAAAAAATAAATCAATGTCAAAAGATGAAAATACTGAAACCTGAAATAAATAGTAAGTTAAAATAATATATCAATTTTCAAATATACAGATATTTTATTTCAAAGTAACTTTTTTATGTTCTTTTCTTAGAAAAAAAAATTTTTACAGCAGTTGTTTACATTTTGAATTGTCTTTAAATTAATTACAACAAATATTAAATAAAAGAAAAAAAACAGAAGAAAAAAAAAATCACACAACAAAATAAAATAACTGAAGTTTTAATGAAATTTTAACCATGAAAAATGTCTGTCTGAACTGGTTGAAAGATAACTGAAATTATTTGATCATCTCCAAGCACAGGTATTTTTTGTAATTTTACATTTCATTGCAAGCTGAATCTGTCGACTAAAAATTTCTAGGGCTGGGACGATATATCGAGATATCGATATATCGTGATACATGTGAGGACGATACGCATATCGATACATGTGAAGAAATATCGAAATATCGCCCATGAAAATCTGACTTCTATTTTTTCTTTGTTTATTTAACATTTGGGGTTTAATATGTAAAATAAATAAGTTAAATATAAATATAGATATGAAATAAATAATAATTCACACCATTTCAGTAAAATGTTTTTGTTTTACAACATATTAACAATTATTTTGAATAAATTATTCTTATTTGCAAGGAAATAACTTGTTTATTTCAATGCAAAAAAAAAGATTTTTAAGCAATTAAACATATCGTGATACATATCGTATCGTGGCTCAAATATCGTGATACATATCGATATAGAAAAAGTTGTATCGTCCCAGCCCTAAAAATTTCCATTGCCTCTCTGTTCAAACTAATCCCATTGACATGCCAAATGTTTTTATTCGAATTCATTAAACCCCTACATCTCCAAAATATCACATTCTGAAAATTTCCATATTTCCTCCGGAGTGTCTTGTATGAATTTTAAAGGAGGATTCCGCCTGGAATTTGGGTGGAATTGAGCAGCAATTGGCAAATTCCGGGCGTACTTGGGATGGAGACGGAATTTTCAAAGAGTTACGCCTCAGTAGACGTCTTACAGGCGCCATTTGTAATTTCCGGGCGTCAATTGGCAAGTTCAGATTTTCCGGGCGTAAAATGGCAGGAAAATAGAAACAAAAATTACGCCTGGAACTTTCAGGAGAAGTAAAAGCCTCTGATTGGTCAATTTAATTATCAATAAGGGTCATTTCAGATAGAAGGATAAGTTTGAATTTGATCATGAAGGAGGGAGTTTAGTGTGAGTGAAACAAGAAATGCAGATATCTCAATGTTAAGGCTTTTACACTTCTTGAGGATGACACAGTGTCTGCTGGTAGAAGTGATCATGAATATCTAGTACCTATTTGAGTAAATTTGATTATGATTATGTACAATGATAGTTATAACTGGTTGACCCTAAAATTACTTTAGATATTTGAGTTTGTCCTTGTACACATTCTGAGAAATATCAGTCTGATAGAGGCTGCAGTGAGAATCTAGCTGTAAACTGCTGAGTAAATGAAGAATTGTATTCATTCAGTAACTAAAATGTTTCAATATAATTATTGAAGTGATAAAATGTACAGGTTATGTAAAAAAGTTTAATTCTAAATACACACTCAATCATGGTGGTCGTGTTTTAGTGTCCCTAATACACAAAATTCATGTTATTTTTCTATACTTGTTAATGATATATGTTAATGACCTGTCATTATGTTTTCTTACAGTTCAAAAAGCTAAATTTTTAGCTTTAACATTGTAAATCATAATCTGAATGTTTTTCTTTGTCAACATGGTAAATATATAGGTTTTTAGGTCACATAGTATTATATAATAATAAGGACATTCCAGGCGTAATTCTATTTCAGGCGTCATTTTAGTTTCCAGGCGTAATTATTTTACGGGCGTCATTTATTTTTCCGGGCGTAGCTCATTTGCATTTTTCACCTCAAATTCCTGCCCATTTACGCTTGGTTTCCGCCTAAGTTACGCCCTGAACCTGTGTATCACCATATATGTAGAGAGACAAATTGATGCCTCTCCAAGTATGCCTCAATTCCCCCTATACTCCAGGCGGAACATTTCGTACAGGGTGTTATTTATATCAAAAACCGTAGAATATTGTACTTTCCTGGATCCATAGTACCTCAAATCATTTGCCTAAACAGACTTCCAATAAATATTTTTTGAACCGAATCATTTCTTAACAGTTTTTCAATAATGTTTTGGATTCCTAACACTATTTCTGACACAGAAGATGAATTTATATCTTTTTCTCCCACTTGTAGAGACACTTTTGTTAGACAACATTCAACTGCTCTTCCAAAAGATTGACTATAAATAAAGCTTTTTGTTGTAGTATCTTTGTCACTGAAAATTTTAACGCAATAATCATTTGGCAACTTAAAATTCACAGAACCATTTGCTACACTGTTCCCTAATTCTGACACATGATTTTGACCAATTACCGCAATTCGTTCTGAATAAGTCATAGATCGAACAGGTGACTGAGGAAATGTAGGGGTTTCTACAGAGGAAGCTGTTGTAGGACCTGTTGGGAGAGTATAATTAATGGAATACTGTTTGGTGTTGTGTTAGGTTAGAACTTAGAATAGGGTTAGTATCAGGCAGTATTCCTCCCTCGCCAGACGGGTGCAGACCAGTGAATACTGTTTGGTGTTAGGTTAGGTTAGGTTAGGTTAGGAATGTTATTGTTTTTTTTAATGTTGCTAATTAAATTATAAATTTTTTATTATGTTATTTTATTTCATGTAATATATATTACTTTCATTTGGCTGTAAGATTGACTAGGAATAATGATCCAGTATCTTTAAGTTTTTTAGAAATCTTTTTAAAGTTTTTTTTGAATTTTTTATCTTTCGGTCCTTTGGTTTTAATATTTTTGTTTCAAAATTCAAATCATGGCTCTACACTTTAGGAGGCCTCAACATGGCTAGAGCTGGGAACATAAAGAAACTATGAATATTTTCAGTTATTACTAATTTTAAAAGGTCTTTATTTATTAATTTGTCATGAATTATCAAAATTATCATAATTCATTTTTTCCTTATGTGTGTGCTAACGTCCTTAAAATGAAATTCTGTAAAGCATAACTGTACAATTCAGAATAGTAAAGGTTCAATGTATATACACAATTGCCCTGCCAGAGGGGGTTGGTCAGACTAGCTGGGAACCCAGGTGTTTAAACAAAAGGTGTTAATTATCAAGTTGACAAAGTGTCAACAGCTGTGTATATAGTGCATGTACACACACAGGGGTGCTTGTCTATCCCAGTACAAACAACAGAGCTAGCTGAGGTGTGAATAATATTCTCATAATAATGTTACAATGCCTCCTGAAGTCTAAGCCCCACGTCCCCGTCGTAGGAGGTGGAAACGGATAATGCCGGCTAACGGGGCTATGCCTGCAGCATGGGGCCAGTCACCCCTTCTGTGGTAAATACTGACTACAGAAACAGACACACAGAGAAACGTATTACCTGGTTCTCCAGTGGGTAACATCGGAAACGAAAGCATGACGTCTAGTCAGGAAAATCAGCAGAGAACTACTAGACTGAGAAGCTACCTTCTGAGACCAAACAAGAACATCAACATAGCAGCGTGGAATGTGCGGACTATGTTTGAAATAAGCAGAGCAGCACAGATTGCTAAAGAGATGAGGCAATATTACATCAGCATTCTGGGTATAAGTGAAGCACGATGGACAGGCTCTGGAAAAACGACTTGTAGTAGTGGTGAGACCATCATATACTCAGGGAAGGATCAAGATCACCAGAGCGGCGTTGCAATAATGATGAGCAAGGAAACAGCAAAGACATTGATAGAGTGGTATCCAGTGAACGACCGAATACTATATGCTAGGTTCGATTCGAAACACATCAAGCTCAGTGTGATTCAATGTTACTCACCAACTAATGATGCAAATGATGAAGAGAAAGATATCTTTTACAACCAACTGCAGAGTGTATTACATCGAACTCCAAAACACGATATGGTGATAGTAATGGGAGACATGAATGCAAAAGTTGGAAGTGATAACACCGGCAGGGAGGCGTGCATGGGAGTACATGGTATGGGACAGATGAATGAAAACGGAGAGCGCCTAATGGACTTTTGTGAGATGAATGGGTTAGTGGTTTGCAACACTATCTTTGCACACAAGGACATTCACAAGTATACCTGGATTTCGCCAGATAAGAGAACAAAGAATCAGATAGATTACATCATGATCAACAAGAGGTGGAGGAGATCAGTCATAGATGCCCGGACGTACAGAGGTGCAGACATTAACAGTGATCACATACTCTTACGTGCCAAAATACAACTTAAGCTAAGAGCAGTGAGGAAAGTGCAAGGACGAAGGAAGTTTGCGTGAACAAACTTAAACAACCTGAGATAAAGGAAGCCTTTAAGCTGGAGCTGAGGAATAGATTTTCTGCATTAGAGACGATGGACGAAGGAAACAACATAGACGAAAAGTGGGATAACATCAGGGATTGTCTAGCTTCAGCAGCGACTGAGACATTGGGATTTAGGAAAAGTGTGAAAGAGGAGTGGCTAACATCTGATACATGGACTCTTATATCAGAGAGAAAGAAGATCAAATCAAAGATCCTAGACTGCGTAGACAACTCAGAGCAGGAATCCCTATCAAAGTCCTACAAGGAAAAGGATAAAGAGGTCAAAAGGAGTGCGCGGCGAGACAAACGGAAGCTTATAGAAGATAACTTGAGTAGAGCTGAGGAAGCAGCAAGGACTGGAAACATTCAAGAACTGTATTAGATCACCAAACTGATGTCCGGCAAATTCACCAACAGCTCAAACGTCGTAAAAGACCAGTATGGCAACATCCTTTCAAAGGACAGTGACATCATGGAGAGATGGGCAGAGCATTTTAGATCAGTTCTGAATAGAGGAAACCCAACTCAACCACCAGATATTGAAGTCAACAACAACATAGTAGAACTTGACATCAGTGTGGAGGAAATCAATGTGGAGGAAATACAGAAGGCCATCAGAAAGATGAAAGACAACAAAGCTGCAGGAGTAGATGACATACCAGCAGAATTACTTAAAGTAGACATAGAAGTAATATCAAAGGTCATATATAATCTGTTCCAAGACATTTGGACAACCAACATGGTACCAACAGAGTGGAAAAACGGACTGATTATAAAACTACCAAAGAAAGGAGATAAATCAGAATGCAACAACTGGCGTGGAATAACACTTTTACCAACAATCAGTAAAGTGTTTACCAGAGTGTTATTAGACAGAATAAAACAACAAGTCGATGCACAACTGAGAGAGGAGCAAGCAGGGTTTAGACCAGGAAGATCATGTTGTGACCAAATTTTCGTATTACGAAACATCATAGAGCAGTCAATAGAATGGCAGTCTTCTCTATACCTTAACTTCGTGGACTTTGAAAAGGCGTTTGATAGTGTACATCGGGAAAGTTTATGGAAGCTCTTGAGATTGTATGGTCTACCTCCGAAGATCATTGACATCATCAGGGTACTGCATGAAGGATTTCAGTGTAGTGTGATGGTTAACAATGCCAAAACAGAGTGGTTCCCAGTTACATCGGGACTGAAGCAGGGCTGTATGTTATCACCTCTACTCTTCTTAGTGGCCATAGACTGGGTCATGAGAGAATCCACCAGAGATAAGAAAAATGGCATTAGATGGAGAATGGACAGCAAACTGGATGACCTGGATTATGCCGATGACCTATGTCTCATCTCATCCACCTATCAGCAAATCCAGGAGAAAACGAACAAACTCTATACAACAGCTAGATGTCTAGGACTAAACATCAACTTCAACAAGACCAAAATAATGAGAATCACAGAATAACAACCCCGTAAAAGTCAATGGAGAGAGTTTGGAAGATGTAGACACCTTCACATACCTAGGCAGCACTGTAACAACATCTGGAGGTACTGTCGAGGATATTACATCAAGAATCAACAAAGCCCGTCACGTGTTTGCCATCTTAAAACCAGTTTGGACCTCCTCCTACATGACCACTAGGACAAAGCTTAGGATATATAATAGTAACGTAAAATCAATACTATTATATGGATCAGAATGCTGGAAGCTCCGGAAAGACCTCGCAAGGAAACTGAGAGTGTTTGTTAATCGTTCCCTACGGACCATATTTAAGATCAGGTGGCCAAAAATAGTCTCCAACAACGAATTCAGGAAGATGTCAGGACAGGAAGACATAGTGGTGGAGATTGTAAGAAGAAAGTGGAGATGGGTTGGACATGTGCTCAGGAAAGACCATCATAACATCACAAGAGAGAGCATATTTTGGACAGCAGACGGCAAGAGAAAAAGGGGCAGGCCAAAAACAACATGGCGTAGAACATCAGAGAAAGAGCTAAAAGAAATAGGGATGACATGGAAAGAAGTAGAAAGAAAAGCAAATGATAGGACTGGGTGGAGAGACTGTGTGGCTGCCTTATGTGCCACCTGGCACGAAGAGGCCTAAGTAAGTAAGTAAGTAATGTTACAATACCAACTGTACAAGAATTCACATATGCAACATGCACATTTTTATTATTTTTTATCAGACTTTTTTTTTTCATAGACCTGGATTCTAATAATTTCATTGTAATGGATACATGTTGCTTTCTCATATCAATGAGTATATTTTTTCTATTACTTGCTTAAAAAACAAAACAAAACAAAACAAAAAACAAACAAAAAAAAAAAAAAAAACAACACACTCTCCCAAGAAAAACAGAACCAAAAACATTAAAAACAAAAAATTAGTAACTGGTTAATAATAATGAATGAATACTGAATTTAAAAATTAATTATTAAACATAGAAGAAAATTAATTAAAAATAAAATAAATTAACAAATTCATTCATTAGTTAATTTAATTTAATTACATGTTATAAATGATTCGAATTGAAAAAAATTACTTTATTCCTTGATTAATGGTCTAGTTAAATTCATAAAAAAAACCCCATTCAATTAAAAATTTCACTGTAATGTTTTTCATTATAATAATTACATTAACAGATTCATTCATTAATTAATTTAATTTAATTACATATTATAAATGATCGGAATTTATAAAAATGACTTTATTTCTTGATTAATGGAGTAGTTAAATTCATTAAAAAAAATTTCAATTACACATTGCATTGTTATGTCTTTCAACATGATAAATATTTCATACTTCTTTTATATTCTTAAGGTTTCCTTACAAATATTTTTTTTTTAAATAATATTCATACATAATATAATATTCATATTGATCAAGATTACAGTAATTATTTCCACGGATAACTCGAAACGATTTCAGCGATCGCGAATTTAGATCGGGCGTGGTGTGCAGTATATGAAGACAAGAAGAAACCCGTCGATTCTGAGGAAAAATTGGCTATAAAAATTTACGGATGTCAATATCATTCAATTAAACATCACCTTAGGCCTTATATTACCCCATTACATTCAATTTTATGGGGTTTCCACCACTTTATTGGGGTTTCACCCCTCCTGTATGGGTATTCTCCAAAAATCGGGGGTTTCGGGTTTTTCCAGTTACCGGTTACCATGCAGGTACATGTGATACCTGAATAGAATTATGAATAAAAAAAATACTTACACATTGTAATCGGGATCGGTCGGGGACTACCACACCATTACATTTATCTCTCGATCTCTATTTCAAAGACATCTTGAAGGGAACAGCTAAAATCCTCTCGGCCTTCGCCCCCATACCACCCTGATTTCCTCATCTTTTCTTTTCTACAAGTAGCTAGCTATACGTGTAATACTCATCATGTCCAGATCAACCCTTTGGCTTTTCGTAAAGATTATCCCAACTTTGTCAACTGTTTTTCATCAAATTCTGAGTCTCTTGAGGTAGAATTTTCCTGAACAAGATGTTTCAAAACAAGAAGAAAAACTGCAGATTTCATTGTCTGCCATTTTGTTTACAATTTACACATTTTCTATTCTTCAATGCCGAAGAGCTCCAACAAGGGAAATAACTCGGATAGAGAAAAAGCACATTTAGACCAACTTTATAGTGTAATAAAACGTTTATTTTTCATTTAACCATAAATGTTTTAAATGATATTTGCAAAATAACATTTCTTGAATCTAAATCTTCCTCCTAGAATTTTCACATCACTTGTCAAAGTCTTTAAATATTAAGTCTAACAAGGGAGGTAACAAGGACTAATTATTCACTTTTTAGGCATCAGAAAATTAGAAATTGTAAAATTTTTGTGACCTTGGCTATTTTTTACATAGTTTTGATTGTCATGAAGGATATAAAAAAATATGAACATAAACAGCTTTGTCAAGTAAATATTTTTTTGATATTATTGATAAATAGCAAAATCCACTATAATTTACACCTTCTAGTCCCGTTTCCATGGCAACCGGATAAACTACCATGCTTTCTTTCATAAAGTCAATCTTTTCATTCATTGAAGTTTCAGTAAGAAAAAAATTAGCTGAATCGAAGACATCGCGTGGCCACCTCATTTTGATATTTACGTAGAATTGGTATTAAGGAATCACTGTCTAGTTTTGAGAGTATGCCAGGACATCAACAATAGTGGGAAACATGGGATAATTTGCATCGCCCGTTATGCTAAAATTATCCCATGTTTCCCACTATTGTTGATGTCCCTGGCATACCCTCAAAACTAGACAGTGATTCCTTATATGTCCATTTAATTTTGAAATAAAATTGTAGACATTAAAAATGTAGACTAATAGATTTCAATTACACGAGGACTTCCATGCCAATTTCAATAGTCCTCGCACACTGACGTCAGAGACAAAGGCAGCCGCACGAGATTTTCATGCATATTTGGCCTCCTTAGCGTCAGACACAGAGACAGACGCGCACGAGATTTGCATGCGTATTAGGCCTCCTTAGCTACTGACCTATCGACCTGCCTATTTACATTCCGGCAGAATTATCAAGGAATAAATGCCCCCAATTTCAAACAGTTATCACAAAGAAATAATTAGAAATGGAAATATATAAATATTAAAATACTGAACGCAGAGATAAACTTAATTGCGATTTTTGTTTTCACATTTAAAAATAATTTTGTTTTGTTAACATGGCTTATAATGATTTCAAAACATTTAACTTAAATCAAAATTTAACCTACAAAGATAACTTTGTTGTACGCAATCAATTGGTACATGTACAAAACACTTACGTCCGAATGTCCAATCTGCAAACATGGTTCCTTCCTGTTCACACAATGCTTTATCAACTTTTTCATCAAATCTTTTTGACATATCGATAACAAGAAGATAAAAAGCTCTTCTGCTGAGATAGACCTGATGACAGGCGTAATACGCACACTGTCCAGCAAAGTCCACAACACTTAGTAAGCACTTATTTTCTGTATCAACAGCTTCCTCCAATCCTAAACAATAGAGTGTAAAACACGTGATTTCATAAAAATATCATATTTAGATTAAAATATCCTGGAAACGTTATACAAACCTGTTAAACTCTTTCGATCTTTGTCTACTTCAAATAAGTTGTCATACACTTCCAGCCCTACGGTCGATTGTATTTGTCGTAACTCCTGAAAACTTCGTTGCTGCAGTCGCCTTAAAAGTGTTGTTTTTTCAGCTCCAGCACAACCAACAATCATTGCACGAGCTCTATGAATTGTTTGGGTCCCTTTCTTAGCGCAGGCTACGTATCTACATCGAGCATCATAGTCCCATCTTAGTACTTCTTCTGGTATGTTAACTGTTTAGAAAATACAAGTAGTATACAGTCAGCAAAAAAATATTTCGATTTTTTCCATCTTTCTGTAAGTGAGAGTAAATATGGTATATGATTTTCATTTTTTTTTATTTCTGCAACGAAATGCAAGTATATTCAACATTCCATTTCTGATAAACGATGATATATGTATTACAACCAAACATTAGTTTTTATTCACTGTGAATCTCATCTTATTATGTTCGGCTCAATTCCGAATAAAATAAATTTATTCAGTCAATTTTCACAGGAGTAAACAAAAATAGGCAGGAGTACAATTTATTGACTACCTCACATGTCCCGTGGAATTCGAAAAGAGATGTTAAGTTGACAACATACACCAAAAATCTACACTCTTTAACCGGTCAACTTGACCAGTGGCAAAAAGGCATAGTTTTTTTTCCACACATAGCCGTTGTGCTTAATGTATAAAATATAAAAATATAATTCAATTTTCTTTATTTTCATGTCTTTATAGAAATGTCGATTCTCGTAACAAAAATACTTTCCACCTTATATATGTTTGTTGTGAGAGCTATCAGTGACTATCAGTGCTTTATGTCTCTCCAATATAAATAGGAAGGCGACAATGTTATTCATGAAAACTAAATCTAACCATTTTCTTTTCATGATTTAATTTTTGCTTTGATGAATTTTTTGTTCTTTTCACGTGTTAAAAAATGATATTTTAATTAAATTTTTTACATTTAAATTTTCCAATAAAACTTCTTTATAAGTACAAAAAATTAAATAAATTACTGTAAAATCACATAATTTTGTGGGGTCAAATTCTCGAGGTTGGGGTGGGATGGGCGGGGTTTTCGTGGTTAGAGAATGTATTGTAGTAATGCATGTTGAATTTTGCTTTTAGTGGTAATGTATTCGTGGGTCCCTCCATGCCTTGTAACAACAAAAATATACCCCCACCAAAATTAGTGATTTCACAGTATTAAGAGAGGTACATGTAATGTACAATTTTGATTTATAGATATATTCCTCTAATTTTAGAATTATTTTACTTATATTTTATGTGTGATATATTCGCTGAATGTAAATGTTTATAATGACATAAGACAGGAAGTCTTAGCATCAATGTTTCTCAATGATTATGACAATCTTCTTGATCATTTTGAATGCATGTATATGGGCTTAATTTTCCGTGTCCATTCCCGGTTAATGTGTTGACTTGTTAGCAACCATATCAGTTTAAAGGTGTTTTACACAAAATTTTACATCTTCGTAAAAGAAAAATACATTTATTAAAAAGCATATTTTAATTTAATGACTTTAAAAATAATAAAATAGACCTATTCATAAAAGAGTGAAGGAAAACATTTACAGTCTTTTAGAACTTGATTTTTTTTCTACAAACTTTCTAATGGTGTTGTTGTTGCTTGGTAACCAAAAATGTTACTACAAATAAAAAGCATTATTTTGAATTTTGTAAATTAATTTGTCTAAAAGATCCCTTAATTGTTGTTGAAAATTTCATCTAATTATCCATGCGTAGAGGAAAAGCAAACGTTTTTTAAAAGGACAAAAATCTTACGAACAAAGTTTGCTCTTCATGACCCTTGATCTGTATTAAAATAGCTATTATAATAATTATTATTAAAAACCTAAGATAAATTGTACGAGGAATATCTCTTGAAATAATTGTATATATGTTATGAATTATGCTTCAAAATTATGTTGATAAAGTATTGTATTGGGGCTGAATAATGTGTTAAAGTTTAAATTGCACTGTGGGCATTGTTACCAAAAATATCAATAGACCTTTCAACTGCCGCTAGGATTCGATGTTATAATCGATAACTCATAAGTAAAACTTGTTTAAAGCAGGTCTGGGGTATTTTAATTGTTTTTAATCTTGTCAGTTTTTAGCGTTTCCCATGTCTTTCTTTGGTGTCAGTAAAATCCAGTGGTTTTAAAATTTAGCACTGATGTTAAACTTATTTACCATGTTCATGCGGACACTGTTTAATTACATATAAGTAAAAATTTTTAATTAAAATATAAAGTAAAATCTACCCCCTTCTACATTTGAATCTGATTATTTTTTATGTTCGGTCGTTCTTCTTCATGCTAAGTAATACAAATAAGGTAATTAATTGTTGCATTTACTAGTAGAAAAATATATATGCATATAGGAAGCGCAAAAATGTGCACACTAAAAGTATGTTATTCCTACCCAAGTATGTTATTATATTGTATTCTTCATAACGATCGTGAAAGAGAGTCAAAAATCTTGAATAAAGTCTGTTCCCCATTACTTTGATCTTGTTATATCAAGAAGAATAAAGACACTTTCCTTCTTTAACACATTTGGGTACAAAACGTTGTAAGGAACCTTTTTGTGTACATTACAAAACAAAATAAAGCAGACTATTTATCATTCATATAAACGATAACTCAGAAATCGGAACTTTGTTGGTCATTTTCACACCTGAGTTACCTGTCCTGAATATGCATTTATGTATTTATTTATTAAAATATTAAGTTTTGAAATCTCTTTATTTTTATATATTTATTTTTTTTTGATTTTATGGAATGGAAAATAAGAACTGAATTTAAATTCAATATGTAAATAAAGAATATGATCAATTGATCGATTTTTAATTTTACATGGCAAAAAGTTGAAAGGAAAACACCTAAATTGATTTCCATTGATCAACGAATCGATGATCAACCTGCGATGTGGCTGACAGGTGTTGTGTACATGTCTCCGGCCCCGGGGTAGAACAGGGTACAACTTGTATATTCTATGTGAATTGTTTTGGTCAGCGTAACAATGGGCACTAATCACCTATTGTTCATTCAATTCATTTGTGCGACTCCCCTTTGCGTTGTGTTTTTTCCAGAAACGACCCCCCCCCCCTGCGTAACCATTACTGTCTGAAAAAAAAATGTCTTAATTATTAATTTTTATAAATTTTAGCCAAGTTTGAATGGTTGCATTTGAAAGCTAAACGTTTGCCTTTGCTGTTTTAACTGTCATAACCCCTTCACAAGTCGTAGATTGTGCAAACTATGCATGTTTTAACCACTCGATCAACATAAATATGAAATCTGTTGAATAGTTTAGAAGTGTTTGAGAAAACTAGACGGATATACTAGCCAGACAAATGACCAACAGAAAGCTTAACTATTGCTACCTTCCGTGGGCTAGTTGGTTTTTGTAAATACATCTTACATATACCGAAAAAAGACGTGACCCACATCTCTTCTGACTCCGAAGCGGTGAAAATAGACTCCCCCTTACCTTTTAGCGACTCCCCCGCGTTACCCATTGTATACGGTGCACATGTGAAATATGAAAGTCATAGCTCCACTAAATGAAAAGTAAAATGCAAGGTTAAATTTTTGTGACAGACAAACTGATAGACGAATGAGATTTAATGTCCCCTCGCTTCGCAAAAGCGGGGGACATTTAAATAATATTTTTTTGAGTGCTGTAAAGAAAGGTCATTGTATACCCCCCCCCCCCCAAATCTCCAAAAGAAAACAAAAACAAAACACCCGGCTGTATTTTAAATAATGTTGAATAACCCTGAATCAAACAGTCAACTCGTCTGAATAACATAGTTATTTTCGTTAAGAGGAACTCCGATTGATAAAACATCATTGAAAACCATGATATAAATGTGTTGTTCATTTATGTAGTATCATATAAAAAAAGATTATGATAAACTCACGCATTGAAGATAATTTTTGATTATCCATATTCAGATTGCCCATAAATGTATGCCGTAGGACGTCTACACCAAGTCTTTTGATGTACTGTTCCGTCCCATTTGGGAGGTATAAACAGCGTTCTGTCACCTTTCTCTTGTATGTCAATGGGCGTGCATATTCTAAAAGTGAGTCCACTGAGGACAGATTTTGATAATGCTCGTAATCTTCCTTGCTTTCTAAGCAATTCAATACAAAGTATCCCATCACCTGATGTCGGACCTCCTCTGATACAAAGGACACTTTATTGCTCTCTCTGTCTACTTTTAATAATTTGTCATGGTGTATTAATTTTTCTAGGAGAACCAAATCTTCTTCAGCTCTTTCCTCGTTAACGTCTTGCAATGCTTTAAATGTTTATTGAATATTTTGTTTTTTGTCCTCCCAAGGGATATTTAAAGATACGGAATAGTTCTCTGACATAAGTGTGGATATCAATATGCTCCATTTCTTCATTGAAAAATTCATCTCCATTAATTCTGGAATAAATAAAATATTTAGAAAATATATATTTTAAAATATACATGTACAATGTATGTTGACATGAATGGATACACATTATGTATCACGAATAGTTTGTTTCACAGATGAATAAAGTTACTATGTTTTGTTACGATGCACACATTCTTAAATACATGTGCTTTTAAATACGACTTCGTTCTAAACCTTGTTAAATATGTAAATGAATTGTAAAACGTACAGGTTAAAAAGAAACATGGACGGTCATAGATTACCTAAAAATTTATTTATTCAGAGACTAATTAAGAAACAAATGAGAATTTGGCGGGCGCCAAAATGCCACTTTTGAAGTGGCATAATTATCCGGCACAGTGTTGATATTTATTATCATTTATGCAGAAAAAAATACTTTAAGATAAAAATTCCGTCATTTAGAATCAAAATATTTGCTTTATTAACTTAAGTCAACATGTTTTTTTTTCCTACCGTTCAATGTAAATATTGCATTTATATTAATTACTTTGCATATTTAGATTGAGATGAACATCATAAATCAGCCCAACAAACCAAAATCATTACCTTTAAAACAGATAAATAATTATAAACAATTAATAAAAAAAAACATATAAAAACTTCAATTTATTAATTCACTATAGTAAAAACTTTGGAACTTTGAATACCTATAGTATAAACTTTGGAACTTTGATTTACTATGGTGAAAACTTTGGAACTTTGATTTACTATAGTAATAATTCTGAAACTTTGATTTACTATGGCGAAAACTTTGGAACTTTGATTTACTATGGTGAAAACTTCGGAACTTTGATTTACTATGGTGAAAACTTTAAAACTTTGAGTTACTATAGTAAACTACAATGAAAATTTCATATAAATCCGTCCAAGCATCTCAGAAATCGTCTGCACAAAATATCGACAGAAATAAAACAAGAGGCCCAAGGGCCACATCGCTCACCTGAGAAGCTTTGACCATTCTGTTCTTTACCAGATTTCCCCCTTGTTATACATAATGCATCCCCACCCTACCCCACTGATCATAATTTAGACATTTTGAAATCTACACTACCCCATGATACTTCCATGGGCACATATGTTTCAGCTTTTTTGGCCCAGTGGTTCCTGAGAAGAAGATTTTCAAAGATTTTTCCTATATATTTCTATGTGAAACTTTGATTCCCTATAATGGCCCCGCCCTTCCCCCGGGGGTCAAGATTCCTACAATTTAGAATTTACACTACCCCATAATGCTTCCACAAAAGCTTCACTTTTTACGGCCCAGTGGTTCTTGAGAAGATTTCAAAGATTTTTCCTATATATTTCTATGTTAAACTTTGATTCCCTATTGTGGCCCAGCCCTTCCCCCGGGGGTCATGATTTCAACAATTTAGAATCTACATAATACTAGGATGCTTCCATATAAGTTTCAGCTTTTCTGGCCCAGTGGTTCTTGAAGGGAAGATTTTCAAAGATTTTACCTATATTTTTCTATGTAAAACTTTAATACCCCATTGTGGCCCCGCCCTTCCCCTGGGGGTCATGATTTGAACAATTTAGAATCTACACTACACCAGGATGCTTCCACATAAGTTTCAGCTTTTCTGGCTCAGTGGTTCTTGAGAAGAAAATTTTCAAAGATTTTTCCTATATATTTCTATGTAAAACTTTGATTCCCCACTGTGGCCCCACCCTTCCCCTGGGGGTCATTCTTTGAACAATTTAGAATCTACATTATACCAGGATACTTCCACATAAGTTTCAGTTTTTCTGGCCCAGTGGTTCTTGAGAAGAAGATTTTCAAAGATTTTTCCTATATATTTCTATGTAAAACTTTGATTCCCTTTTGTGGCCCCGCCCTTCCCCGGAGGGTCATGATTTGAACAATTTAGAATCTACACTACCCCAGGATGCTTCCACATAAGTTTCAGTTTTAATGGCCCAGTGGTTCTTGAGAAGAAGTTGAAAATGTGAAAAGTTTACAGACGGACAGACAGACGGACGGACGACGGACAAAATGTGATCAGAAAAGCTCACTTGAGCCTTCGGCTCAGATGAGCTAAAAAAATAATAATAATAGTGAAAAAGAAACAATAGAATAATAGAAGGATCTTCCGTAGGAGACGAAAGACCCTAATTAACTAAAGTTTACTATAGTGTTTTTTTTGTTAGGGTAATTTATTTCAAACATTTAGCTCGTGATCTTAATTTTAAAGTGGTTGATCCAAGGCAAGTGAATATTACTTTTAAATATTTGTGATGGGTAAAAGGACATTACTGATTCCGGCTAATTGATTTCAAACATTAAACTTATATGTCATGTGTGATCAAGATCAAAACTCATAAGTGGTGGATCCAAGGGGGTGGATAATAATCTTTTTTTAAATATTTGTGAATGATCAAAGGATATTAATGATTTTTGATTATGGCTAATTTATTTCAAACATTTAAGTTATATGTCATGTGTGAACATGATCTTAATTTAAAAGTGGTGGATGTAAGGGGAGCGGATATTATTTTTAAATATTTGTGGTTGGTAAAAGGATAATAATGATTATGGCTAATTTATTTAAAACTTTAATCTTATATGTTATGTGTGATCAAGATCTTAACTTATTAGTGGTGGATCCATGGGGAGTGGATATTCATTTTTTAAAGAAATATTTGTGGTGTATCAAGGATATTAATGATTATGGCTGATTGATTTTAAACATTAAGCTTATATGTCATGTGTGGTCATGATCTAAACTCATAAGTGGTGGATGCAAGAGGCATTAATATTTTATTTTTAAATATTTGGTTGAATCAAAAGATTTTAATAGCTGTACTTTGTGATATATAACCGAATGAGTTCCATTAATTAAATATTTAGATATATTGCACATGAATTAAATAAATCCAATCTTATTTGTGGTGAATGCAAGGGAAATGGAGATTTAAAAAAAAATCCACAAACTAGACATCATATAAACCTAACATATATAAATATATATTAGTTAAGGAAAGAAAACTCTTTGGACACTGTGAATTGATTTCTATTGTGTATATTGTGTTGGTATAAAATTTTCTTGTTTCATTTTTTTAAAATCAGATTTATTGTCATCGATCAAATAACCTGTGAAGAGTTTTATGATGAATGTTTCATTATGGAAGGCAACTGCCTTAGAAACCTGTTTTCATATAAATCTTCTTTTACATAAGCAAAAATTTGAAGAATGAATACTTGAAATTTTGAAAAAATAATAGATATTTGTTATAACTATCCACTTTTATAGAATGAGAAACAGAGAAGATACTAATGATCCATTAGTCTAAGAAAAAAAACCAAGTTTTTTAGGAATTATCTTACAGTAAATATATCGATACATGGGATTTAAAACCCCATAATAAAGAAACGTGGGAGAAAAAACCCCATATTACAATATAAGCAACATATGGGTTTAAAAAACCTACATTGATTTTCGTGGGGTTATTTCCCCCATGGGTGAAAATTAAACCCCATTAGGTTTTTGTGGGTTTTTTTGTGGGGTCTTTTTAAGTTCATGTTTCCCCATGGGTTTTTTTTTAACTCAAATATCTCAAAAACGTGCAGAAAATGTTGAATTTTTTTTTTCATAAATCAATTTAATTTTAAAAACCCCACCATTTAAAAAAAACCTAAGATGATAGCTTTAAAGGAAAAGGGTGCGCAAGTTTGGAAAAATGTCCATTCCGAAGTTGTCCGTCCCACTGTTATTATTATCTATAGCTATAACTTTTGTTGAAATTGAGAGTTTAGACAACTCTAGTGTAACATAATTCATAGAACATGCTGAAGTTATCAAAATGAAGGCTTATTTCGATTCGAGACACCAACACTGAAAGTGTTAGAAAGCGTTTCATTATGTGCTTTAAATCTCATCTTCTCGGGTCTATTCTGGGAGCACATGTACTTGTTTCGGAAATAAATTTTAACCCTTAGCATAATAACAGTGCTGCTATCCCACAAGTTGACATGGGATGGGATCGGATAGGATTCAGGATTGCGGATTCACGATAGAAACATATAGAAGTTAATCCTATCCTATCCTTTCCTGTATCCTACAGCCAATCAGATTCGAGCAAAGGTTCATTCATATTTCAGAATAAATTACAAAATCGAAATACGATATAAAATCCCACCTCTGATGTTTCGGAGGTCCGTGTTTGCTCTGCTCTTATTTTGTATATTGTTTAATGGACGTTGATATTGAATACTGTTCGTTATTTCCATATCCTTCTTACAAGAGAAATATTTCTAAAATTTCAATAGAAAAAAAACCCATTCTTTTCTCTAAACACAGATTTACATTATAAACTTCGAGTAACACGGCGCACGATCTAACCGTGAACGGTCACCGGAAGAAGGTGGCAGAGGATAGTATTTTTTTGCAATCAAAACGTTTGACTGACGGTTGACTTAATATTGAGCTGCTTTAATAATGTGTATTGAAAAATTTTTAATTTCCTCCACATGTAATAATAGTATTATGTAGTCCCTTGAGAAATTTGAAGCTTTTAGGAATAAAACATGTACAACTTACACAATGAGCCCTAAAGATGGCGCAGGGACAATCTCAAAATTTCATGTGATCAAGCCTATTTTCACTATTTCGCCGCAGCCGCATCTTCTTCCAGACCCGTGCTCCTGACCTTAGCTACCACACAAATTGTAGAATAACATTTGTACATACCAATGAACAGCAAGAGATAATGGTTCAACTACCTCGTGTTCAAGCTACAATTCATCCTGTGAACCCACCCCGCTTTTCTGGTGAAATACCGGTTGAGCGAGTTTTGAGCATAGTTTTGTATTTCTAGTCCATATCCCATATACAGTAGTAGTTACACTAAAGTGTCATATTTCAATAAAATATACAAGACCACAAATTCCCTCCAAATGCACCCATAAAATATTCTAGCTATAAAATTACCTGTAATATGCATTCAAACCTCAGGTCTCTCTATTTTT